TGCTCGTTATTTTTGAGCTGAAATTTGTAACTCTGAAACCTTAAGTGTTCTGTTTTAAATTCTCTGCACTTGAATACGCTAGTTAATTGTACATCAGCCGTTAGGCTTTGAACCTTGGTTTACTGTTAATATTAAGACTGATTACTGTTCACTGTTAATTGTAATTAATTCTGAATTATGGTATTACTATATTTTGGGATGTTACATGTTTTCTATAAATATTTTTTTTCTCGTTCAACTATTTTCTTCTCCTTTTCATATATCATCTCTTCTTTAATTATTAACTTTACGTTATAAAATTATTAAATTATTAAATTATAAAAACATAAAATTATAAAATTATATATTTATAAATTGATAACATTATAATAGTATAAATTTATAAAATTATATATTTAAATAGGATAAAAGTATAACATTAGAACATTTGACTTTCTTCTATATCGTTTTCCACATAAAACATATAAAATCCATCTTAATTAAGTCTTGCTCCATGCAAGAAAAAAGAAAAAAAAACGACAATCAATATATATTTTTTATTTTACAGAAGTTTATTAAAATATTTTTTATCAATATCATGTATCATGTCATATGTGAGAGGTAGTCATATTTGATTTTGGTAAAATTGTTATATAAGTTATTTCAATATTTAATGTTATTATCTTAAAACTCAAATTCAAAACTAATAATTAAACTGGAATGTCTTTATGGCTGGCAGATGAAAATTGATTGTTAGTATTGATTGCATGAATCATAATAAATTACATATAGACTAAAAAAGTTTTTAATGAAATATATTATTTTAATAAAAAGAATAATTACAATCTACAATAAAGTTGATTTATTGTAATCATTCTTAGCGATCGCATCCAAAGCACTAGTGGGGATGAATTCTTATAAAAGTTCTTTTCTTTTATGTACTCCATTGGAAATTTGAAATATTTAAACCAAAATATAATTTTTTATAATATTTAATAAAGACTAATTAACAAAGTCAGGTAGTATTTAATTGTGACTTTAAGCTATTAAAAATAAATAATTTGATATTCAAATATTCTGAAAAATAATAAAAATAAATAATTTATTTTTGATAAAATAATAGTTTTTAATAGAAATTGATTTTAAATAAAAAGTTGGACAAATATATCATTAATATTTCCTTGCCAAAGACAAAGGTGTTTTTAATTCTGTGTGTGCAGGCCTTGACATATTTTAATAGACTGATAGGAATGTGCTGTACAATTTGGTATTGCACTGCATCAGTTTGTAGAAAGAAAATATTCGACAATAAATTACTTGATAAATCCGACAACTTTTTCTAAGATAACTTTAACATCATCTTAAAAAATTAAATGTGTTCCTCCAATAATATTTTTGCACTGAACTCAATACTTTCAATCTGCAACAATCCTACGACTGTTGTTTGAAGCACAGATCATGAAATTGTTGAAAACTCTAATAAGACAGAAATTTGATGTATGCCTTTTGACCTCTAAAGTTACCTTGGTTTGATGTCTGAGCCAGAAAATGTTGGTCCCTTAAATACCAAATCAAAAACAAAAATTAATGCATTTTTGCGCTGATATATTGGACACAGGCATTTAAAATGTTTGCTTACAAAACATTTTTTTCTGCCGGTGTTAGTAGCAGCAATCATGCTATATATGCAATTTCTAACAATCACTTGAAATATAGATTGCAGAAAAAAAAGAAGACACTGAATAAGGATAATACTTCAAGAATCTAATTAATCACTAACTAACTTACAGAAACTCCTGATAGGCATAAAAAAGCCTACTCCTCAGAACTCAAAATGTTTTCCAACACATTGCAATTACATGAATTAGAAAATGAAATGTACATAGTACCTCTGAATAACCTGCGATTGTATTAAGAGTTGGTTTAATACTTCAATATCTGCTAAAACTTAAATGTTCTTGCATTTATTTATAATAACTGGGCCTGCCATGGAACCTTCCACTCCTTTTAAAGTTCAATGTGTTCTTACATGTGACATTGCGACAGATGCAGTGGCCATGGTACGATGAAAGAATTTTGTTTGTGCAATCGTTGGATGTTTTATATGGATAACTCATTATTTCTTGGATTTAATTTTCTGACATGTACACAAATGATCTGCATTTGACAATTGGTTATTTTCTTGATTTTAATGATGATATGCAAAATATGTGCTTTTTCTATTATCAAGTTATCTAACAGTAACAATATCACCGTCAAGCAGCCTCCAATTTCATCAAAATGAAGTATTTTTCTTTCATGTTACTTGCATTTTGGTCTAAATATGTCCACCTTCTTGTTCTTTTTACTTTAAAATCACCATGGTTCATTCCAAAACCTGTTGCCTCTGCATCAGAAAATGAGACTGATCACACGGTACTGCTTCAATTTAGAACAGTAATCTTTGTGGATGTATTTCAGAACTGCATCTACCACCACGCTCTATCGATGGTAAGAAACTTGTAAAACTTCATCCATTCATGTTGGTAGCAACTATACTTAGCACAGTCACTTCTCTTCTCATCATGTCAATTATTCTAACTATCTATCGGATGAGGAGCAAGAAACCATCTTTGGATCCACCAGCAGTGTATCAAATATGCCAAAAGTTTCGTATCCAAGCCTACACAACGCAACCAATGGGTTCTCAATCACAAATTTGATAGGCTCTGAAATTTTAGTTTTGTCTACGAAGGAATTCTTAGGTCAGAAGAGAAATTTATGGCCATAAAAGTCTTGAACCTTATAAAAAGAGGATCTCAAAAGAGTTTCATCACTGAATGCAATGCACTAAAACATATTAAACATCGAAATTTAGTTCCAATTTTAACATGTTCTGGAATAGACTACAATGGTGAGGAATTTAAAGCTCTAGTTTTCGAGTACATGAAAAATGGAAGCTTAGAGCAGTGGTTGCATCCAAGCGCATTAAGCGAAGAACATTCAAGAACATTAAACCTTGATTAAAGATGGATGTTGCTTCTGCTTTACATTATCTTCACTATGAATGTGAACAGTTGATCATTCAATGGAATCACCAAAAGAAAGAATGAATATGGATGCTAAGTTAAATCAAGAAAAACCTTATCTTGCAATGTAAAATCACTCTTATCTTGCAATGTAAAATCACTCTTGTATTTATTTATTATATAACTAGGCCTGCTATAGAACCTTCCACTCTTTTTGATGTTCAACATCAATTCATTATTTCTTGGATTTATTTTATTGACAAATACATTTGGCAATTTGTTTCTTTTGAATTGACTTCTTTTTAATGATGGTCAGAAGGAACACCATATTCTTCTTTATTTCTATGTCATCCAATTACCATTTTTTTATAAACTATCTAATGATAGATATTCCATACCAATTTTTTTGTCTCAAGAACTTAAACGCCTGTGCATTGACGTCAACAAATTGACTGCTACATACATTTGACGTTCCACACCTTCTAAGTAAAAATAAAATTACTATTTTTTATTTTTTATTTCAAATTTTATACGTCTCACTTTATTATTTGTTGCTACTTTTCTAAGTAAAAATAAAATTACTATTTTTTATTTTTTATTTCAAATTTTATACGTCTCACTTTATTATTTGTTGCTACTAAGCATGTCGTACTTTATTATTCTACTTTTTTTTCTTCATGAAAGGAAGGTGCTTGGTCATCATCACACTTTTATTCACTGTAAATATTACTTCACTATTTTTTATTTCAAAAATTAAAAAACAGTGCATTTTTCCCAATTTTTATTCAACCATTTGATACCCAAACCCAATAAATAAGTTCATTCAATTCGCTAACATAACTAAATTCTTCAAACATGTTATCAAGTATATTAATTAAAAAAAAAGCTTATTTTTCACGAAATAACACATCAAACAAAGACAATTGTAGTAATACTTTCTAAAGTGAGATTATAGTGAAACAAAGCATTGTGTGCGCGCCTACAAAACTACAACACGTAAATGACAGCATCAAGAACACAACATTATCAAATAAACAATAATACACAATTGTTCCAACCACATAAAACAGTACGTAGGTCATCTCCATACATTAAGCAACTCATGCAGTGCGTTGTTTTATTTCATTCTACATTTATTCCCACAATACTGATCCAGTACATGTGTGGATACGTTTTCTAAAAGCACACATTAACAAACTTTCATTCCAAATTTATAAAAGGGACTTAGCTTCAAATCTGACACGCATTGCATTGATCTCCACATACAGGCATCCAAATACACTATCAAACACCCAACCAAATCCATGAAAAGTTAATTAGCTTTCAGAGCTGTAAGATGTCTCTCCAGAAGATAAGTCTAGCAGTCGATGACGCTTCATCTCCTCATAGGCCCACTCTAGTCCTGGGCAGTAATGAAGCGGAGGATTAAATCTGCAATCATTGATATCGGGTGGCAAAAAGGCTCCATTCTCTATCAAGAATTTCACAGCATCCCTCCTCCTTTCTTTGGCTGCAATGTGGAGCGGTGTCCCTGGTTCGAGAGAAGAGATCAATGTCAGAGATTCATACTTTGAATCTGTATTGACATTGTACTATTACAGTAATTTTTACCCAACTGATCTTGACTTCCTCTTCTCCGTCAAACACATTGTAAAAGTAAAAATAATAGGCTATACAGGAAATTTTAACCTGACAGCAACACTTCAGTCTTAAACAATTACCAAAAAACTGTCATAAAATCTGAAAACCTTTTCTTTTTACTTCAAAGTAGTTTTTAAGAAAAAGAAAAAGAGAGAGGGAGAGAGAAAAGACAGGCCTTAAGTCCTAACGGCAAGAATAAATCACTTACAGCCACAAGCACCCTTGGTTCTGGCATCAATGTCAGCACCATGCTCAAGTAGCACATCCATCACTCCAATGTGACCACCTTCCGCAGCAAGGTGGAGAGGGGTCACCCCTTTCGATTTAGGGCCCCATGCAGATACATTGACATTCATTCCTTCATCGAGAAGTTTTTTAACCTGTTCAGCCACACCAAAAGATGCCCCGGTGAGATTAAATTATCACGATTAACAAACCTTTTGCGACAAGTACGATACGAATTCAACTCTTAAAGCATCAACTACACGAGGCAAAATATTCAAGTACTACAAAGAAGAATCGGTAACATCATAAGATTTCAAAACACTGAAACTCAGCAAAGAATCCATATAAAGGGTGAACCAGTGGACAAGGCTTGGCTCCCAACGATGTGGATAATTTTACTTCAAAATTACCAAATGGCGTAGAATGAAATATACTCCAAAACTAGAGTAAGTCGTTCCCCCTCCACAGTAAATTCAAATGGGACATTATTCAAATTCCTCACCAATTTTGGCAACTTCGAAATAAAAGCACCCTTCTGTAAAAACAGGTAGTTGGGGTCAAACTTCGATGCTGAAGATTGTGGAAGTTTTACTACAGTGATTCCTTCGCTGATTCCGGCATGGACATCAGCCTATAGCAAACACGTGACAGGACCCTAACAAGGATAACAAAATTGAAACACCCAAACAAACTAAAAAAACGCTTCAAGTTTTAAACCAAAGGCAGCAATCTTGAAGGCAAAGCCACTCAAACCCAATTCAACCGCGTCATACACACACACCCACACACACACAAACATAAAGAATCTAAATTCAAATTCAATAAACCAATAACCCGAGTGCAACCATAACATTTTCCCAATTGAAAGCCTCAAATTACAATTTCCCTGACAAACAGCATCCGGCCCTCCCATTCTAACTACAAAATTCAGCAATAAAAACATAAAGCGGATATAAAAATCACATTACCAATTTGAGATCGCCTTTTCTGGCTAGAACATGGAGCGAAGTCCAACCCCTATCATCGGTATCAAACCGAGGCCTCAAGCGCCTCCGGGAAGGGCTCCTCCTGAACAAAACAGGTTGTTCCTCGAGCATATCTTTTCCTTTCTCACCAACCAACCAACAACGCAAAAACTAAGGCAAAGAAAACAAAGACGACGACGCTTAACCAAACCCCTAAAATAGAGCGAATCTGGGACAGTGTGCTCCAAATTTACATGTTCGAAGTGGGAAAAATAGAAATCAAGAGAACGCGCGGGAAAAGGAGGGGAACCGCTTAACGAGAGCTGAGAGAATGATTGGCGATGCAATAGGGGGCGAAAGGATTCAAGCCGGGACCGAAAACGCGAAGGTTATGAGCGGCGAAGATGGAGTTCATGATAATGATCATACCTGGTTGAGAGTTGGGAGAGGAAGGAGAAGAAAAAACGTGGAAGAATAGGAATCAAATAAAACCTGGTTTCATTGGAATGAGGAAGGAGAAGGCAAGATGAAGATGCTCTCAACCTAATGAAGAAGACCGTGAAACCCTAGCAGAAGAAACGCACTGTTTAATCAATCTCTTGCTAGCGGAATAGGATAGACTTCGTTTTTGCTTTCGTATTTAAAGATAAAATTATATATAATTAAACATTAGAATACTAAAATTGTTGAAAAAAATTACACTAAAATTATAATTATATATTTATTTTTAAAGAACACATCAGTTAATTCACTTTTATTTTTAATTATACGAAAAGATATGAAAATTTTGATTTACATAAATTTTTATTTATTCCGATATTGGCAGGGTATTTTTATAGCAATATTTAACATTTAACGATAAACAAAATTTATGAATTAATTAATTTTATTTATTAAATTTTAAATTAAAATAATAAAAATTACAATAAATAAATATACAAAAATTATATATAGATATATTAATATACATTAACTCAAATTAACTCAAATTACCGTTAAATATCATTTAAGAATATTTTTTATCATAACTGTCATGCCTTGAAATTGAACAAATAATTTATGTGAATAAAATTATTATATAATAATTATCATAAATAAACTAACATTTTTATAATAAATAATTCAAATTTTTAAATAAATTCAATAATTAAAAATTGTATTTATTTGTGTTTATGTTACAACTATTATTTTTTTCTCTCTAACTAATATAGTATTTTTGAAACATATTATTTATATTTGTGTAATAATTTTTTGTGATTTAAAATTAATAATATTTTAAATTGTTTAGTAATAATAGCAAAATTATTTGACAAAAAAATATAAAAAAAATCATTTATAATTTAAATTACTGAAAGTTAATGTTATAAATTAATTATTTAACTCATCATTAATTACTTGTATTATATATAATTGAAAGATATAAATGGTTTTAGGTATGAAATTAAATTTATAAAAAAAATAAAATATATGTAGTTATTTTGTGTATTATCCAATATTATTATATTATACATTTATTTTAAGTATTATTTGATCTTATCTTATGAATTTAAAATAATCTTATTTTATGAATTCTAAATAAGGTTATGTGATATATTATTATAATTTTAACATTTTAATTATATTAATATTTCAAAATCCATCAAATCTATCACATTCAAATTTATTAAAAATAAAATAAAATAAAATAAAATAATATAAAATATGTGAAACCATATCAACTCATAACAAAAATTATATTTCACAAAACATTCGAAAACAATATCTATTATGAAAAAAAATCTACTCACATATTTATGATTGACTTTCTTTAAAATATCGTGAAATGAAATCAAAGACAACCCATAATTGTATTTATCTTAAACTAATTGATATGAAACTTTTCATATTAAATTTATAAATGAAATCACTCTACTATTTCAATATTAGAAAAAAAACAATCGGAGACAATATCTTAAATTTACTATACAATCTTATCTCATATATTCAAAAGTTCTTTTTCTCATCTTATTTGATTTAGTAGTAATATTTATTTATAACAAAATTCATTTAAATATTTGATAACTAAAATTTATCACCAAATAATAAAATTTAAATATTTAGAGAATTTAATTTTCTAAAATAAATTTGTAAACACTAGAAGAATGGTATTTTAGAGTGATTGGTCGTCTGAGAACAGTGAGACTTGATTATTTTAATGTTAAATAGTTTTATTGTAAATAGTTTCGTTATAAACGGGTTTCATTATTTTAAAACATATCATCTCTTTCGAAACTACTTTTCTAGAGTTCTCTATCTTCTCTCTAAGAGTTCTAACTCCTGAGTCATGTCTTTGACGATCAGGAGGTGTCTAAACGATCACAACATCAAATCTACAAATTCAATCGATCAATTTCTGTTTTAGAGCAAGTAAGTTTCTACTCGTTTTTCTATCCTCTTTGCTTCGGTCAATGATCATGCACAGAACTGTTATGCATGTATCATTTAGTTTTCTTTCCTTACTCTTGGTGAATTTAGAGTTTTAAGAACTTTGTCCGTTTCAATTTCGGTGCGTCGTAGGTCCGTTTAGGAATTTCTTGCGTTTCAAGCGATCGGTGAGACGCTTTCGTGGTTGAGTTGTTATTTTGAGGTAAGGGAAGCTAATTTGCTTTTTATAGCTATAGTAAGATATTTGAAATTTGTGAATTTTGTGTATGTGATTAAATGGTGATTTATGATGTTAAATTTGGAAAAGTGTTGAATGCTTGTACACTATGATGTGTTTGAAGAGTTATAAAGGTGTGATTGTTGTTATGAGTTATTGTATCATGAACTTAATGTGTGGTTGAGATAAAAGGGTATTAACAATAATGGTGGGAAAGGTATGAAAACTAAAGTCTAGCTTTGTAGCTTAAATTGATGAAGTGGGTGTGTCAATTTTTGAAATAATGAGCATATTGTGGAATCTACAGTTTGTTAATTATTTTGGAGTGGTTTATGATTGATTATCATCATTAGATGGTTAAAGTTTAGATGGTTAAGGGAGGAAGACAAGAGGAGTTCAGATCTTACTTGTTTTGGAGTGAAAATTTCGGGTTTTGGTATGTGGATTTGTGAGTAAGCAGTGGGTTGGGAAAAAGGGATGTTTAGGGGTTGTTTTAAAGTCCATTTGGACTTGTGAAAGGGATCAAACCAGTCAAATCTGGTTTATTATGCAGAAAAGTGTTGGTGAGGCTTGGTTGAAGTGAATTTAAGTCCAATAGAAGGGTGTTGGGTAGTGAATTTAAAAAGGAACAGTTCTATGGAGTTGGAGTTGGATTAGAGTCCATTATTGAGTCAATATAAAATTGGTTGTGCAGCAAAATCAGTAACATGGGTGATATAAGAGGTAGATTTGAGTTTGGGTAGCTTATAGGAGTGAATTTGGGTTCTTAGGTCAATTTAGGTTTGGAGTGGTCAATTCAAGTAAGAGGTATTTTGTTAGATGTTTCTCAGCGTCTAAGAGTGTTTAGGAATTAAACTTGTATATAGGGTCACCAAAGTTAAAATAGGTGAACTTTAGAACCTGGTGCAGCGTTGGGCACCCTCCAAGGGGTTCTTGGGCGTCAGTTTTGCGACTGGACACAACTCAGCAGACTTTAGTTTTCTTTTTCAATTTTCGGGATCTCAAGTTTGGGTTTCCGATTATCAGTTTTTGACGTTCTTTAGGTTGTTTTTGGGATCTCAAGTTTGGGTTCCGGTTATCGGTTTTTAACTATCTTTACGTTGTTGGGGGGTTTTGGACCCTTCCGGAGTTGTTTGTGAGTGTTACAGAGTTGTTTTGGTTACATAAATACAGAGTTAGAAGACTAGAGCTTTCGAGTTTCCAAGAATGGATTAAGTTGTGAGGAGGTAGAAATGTTGTTTTCTTTTCCAAGAATAGAGTCAAGAGATCAAATATCGCACGTTTCACAAGAAGAGTTGAGTTCAAAGGCTAGAATAAGAGCAACTTTGGGTAAGCATTGATGTAGCAAGGTTTGAGAAATTAGTTTGGTTCAGTGTATTAGTAATGTGGCAGGTCAGAAGAAAGGAAGGTATTGGTGAGTAATGAAGTAGCAATGGTTGAGAAGGCAGATGGTTTGGTATATCAGTGATTTTTGAGAAGCAGTTGTTTAAGACATAGGGTAGAAGTAAGGAGAGTTTAGAAGAAGACGAAATTTCCAAGTTGAGAGAACATGAAGTCCTTGAGGAAAAATTGAAGTATTGTAAAGGTATTAATAATAATGGTGGGAAAGGTATGAAAACTAAAGTCTAACTTTGTAGCTTAAATTGATGAAGTGGGTGTGTCAATTTTTGAAATAATGAGCATATTGTGGAATCTGCAGTTTGTTAATTATTTTGGAGTGGTTTATGATTGATTATCATCATTAAATGGTTAAAGTTTAGAAGGTTAAGGGAGGAAGATAAGAGGAGTTCAAATCTTACTTGTTTTGGAGTGCAAATTTAGGGTTTTAGTAGGTGGATTTGTTAGAAAAGTGGGTTGGGAAAAATGGATGTTTAGTGGTTGTTTTAAAGTCCATTTGGACTTGTGAGAGGGATCAAACCAATAAAATTTGGTTTATAATGCAGAAAAGTGTTGGTGAGGCTTGGTTGAAGTGAATTTAAGTCCAATAAGAGGGTGTTAGGTAGTGAATTTAAAAAGGGGCGGTTATGTGGAGTGGGAGTTGGATTAAAGTCCATTATTAAGTTAATATAAAGTTGGTTGTGCAGCAAAATTAGTAACATGGGTGATATAAGAGGTAGATTTGAGTTTGGGTAGCTTATAGGAGTGAATTTGGGTTCTCATAGGTCAATTTGGCTTTGGAGTGGTCAATTCAAGTAAGAGGTATGTTTTTAGATGTTTCTTAGTCCTAAGAGTGTTTAGGAATCATTTAAACTTGTATAAAGGTTCACCAAAGTCAAAATAGGTGAACTTTAGAACCTAGTGCAGCGTTGGGCGCCTTCCAAGGGGCTCTCGGGCGTCAGTTTTGCGAGAAGAATTCGGGTCTGGCACCTGGGCCCCCCTTTCTGGGGCGTTGGGCGCAACTCAACAAATTTTGATTCTTTTTTTTCAGTTTTTGGGATCTCAAGTTTGGGTTCCGATTATCGGTTTTTAACTATCTTTACGTCGTTGGGGGGTTTTGGACCCTTCCGGAGTTGTTTGTGAGTGTTACAGAGTTGTTTTGGTTACATAAATATGAGTATCAAGATTCCATGAAAAAATTGTTACTGGGTGATTTTCGTTGACTTGTATGAGTGTTTCTATTTCTTTAATGTATGATTAGTATTCTCATATACTGATGTATTATTCGAATGTGAAAGTGTATGGACATATGTATGATTTCAAATGGTTTTCAAGGTTGGAAAAAGAGAATTCCAAGGAGGAATATCTTATTAGGGGATTCATGTGTATAAATAGTATAAATTGTAAGAAGTCGATATGGGGTTATCTTGACACTTTAATGATCATCCATGCTCAATTAGAGAGTGATGAGTCATGTCGTGAGAGGAGTAGGAAGTTCTAGCCTCGGGGCCTTTCTTCATGGTGGCAAAGGGCGTTTTAAGGACTAACCTTGTGTGGCAACTTTGAGTAAGTTAGTTGTTCCACCACACAAGTGCAGAACCTTCCATTGCTCGACACTTATACTATATTGGAAAGGGTTTGGCCAAGTCCGAGTCAACGGTGTGATTGAGAAAGATGTTTTGATATGTGTGAATGGTGGGAGATGTTCTACTAATTGTGTTATTGAAAATGTATGTTGAATTTTATTTTTTTCATGTTAAACTTTTTTATCACTAGCTTACCCTTGCATTTGTTTTGTCTGTCTGTATGTTGTTTTGTCTTTTGCAATGATCACTTTAACTGGTGTGAGCTTAGGAAAGGGGTATATTTTCAGTTGATTCAGCGATTGGTTGAGAGAGAAACAAGATGACAAATAGTTTTTGCTCTTCAAGGATAAAATATTCTACTCTATTAGTCTCAGGTTCTTTATAAGTTGTCATGTATGTACGTTTTATTTTAGTAGTTTTACACTATTAAAATAAGATGTTACAAAATCATTTCACATATTTAAACAAAAATAGTAAAAATATAATCTTTAATAATTTTAATCATTTCACATATTCTTATATTTATTATTTATTGTAACATTCCATTTAATAATATATCACAACTGAAAAAAGCATCACATAGTTAATACTTAAGAACAAATAATTGACAAATATGTAATGTTTTTTTAGTTATTCAAAATATAACTATAATATCTCACTACTTACAAAAGTTTCAACTAAGAAAATATTGTTCTAATCAAAAGTACAATAAATTTATAAACAAAAAATGTTTATACAGATTAATATCATCCTAGAAACTACATTATAGCTCCACTAACATTTTAAACTACATCAACCACTATATTATTATTGTCTCACACCATTTAGGTGATCATAAAACAAACATAACATACATAAAAACTCATATTAGACTTAATTATCCAGATACTTGTATTGATATCAAACTTTAGTAAGTTATGCACTTGTGGTGGAATAACTCGATCAGCCAAGCTACCACACATAAGGTTAGTCCATCAACATCTTTGACAAAGGTAAAACCCCTAGACTAGGACATCTTGCACCTATCACCACATACTCCATCCTTATCTACCAAAGATTGGATGATTATTAGAACGACATGAGAACTCTCTAAATTGGATTCATATATCAATATATACACTAAAGAAACTTCACCATAAAATCTCCCTACGAGATCTCTAAAATTATGTCAAACACATATAATGCTTATATCCATTAACAAGCTCATCACCACTAGGATTTCATACATTATTACTCACATGCATATTTATCCATAAATTTTATCAACCATTCCCAAATAAACATCATAAACCAACTATCATTTCTAACATTCACAATATAATACATTAAACTTATTAGAATAAAACATACAAGAAAATATAAGTGGACTCTAAAATTTCGCTCGACGAGAATATCTACTCCTTAGCGAGTAGTTCCTGAAAGCCCACTCGACTAGTGATCAGATAGCTTGTTCAGCGAAACAATCACTGAACAAACTTAAATTTTTTTAAAAGTCACCCAACGAGACTTTTCTCGCCCAACTACTACTGAGTTAGTAGCTCTTTGACTTCAACATCACCCAACAAGTATATTCTTACCCAACGACCACCAATTCAGTAGCTCTCTGACTTTGGCTTTGTCCATCATGCATAGTTCTACAAATTTATACCATTTCAACCTTGCAAATTTAATCCAACAACAAACATTATGCCAAAACATACCAAATTTGAATTACACAACTTTCATTAATTCAAACAATATTTATTACAAGACCAATCAGGTAACATTCTCAATTTCATCATATAGTTCAAGTAAGCCAAATTAAAATCCTAATCTAAGTTCAACCTATTATATTTCATCACACAACTCAATCATGCAAGCAAAACATTATACAATCATACAATTAACAATTACAAGATATCAATTACATAAAAACTATGCATTTAGTTTCCTTTACTTGAAAGACAAATGAAATTGCTCTAAGAAATCCCAATTTCTTCAAGTTCACAAGATGCCTTATTTATACCCATGAACAACACAAAAACGATCATGACACATAATTATAACCACTAATTAATAGATACTCATATAGAAGACTTCAACGCTACATGCGAACCAAGATTATTCATATGCTTATGAACCAATGAAAGGAGTATAGAAATCATCTTACTATGTTAGAGAAACTGATTAGACAGAAATGGACAACTCGTCGCAAAGATCACTCGAATAGTTTTTTATCTTTAAACAAATGAATAAAAAGTGAGAAAACCTAAAGAGAAAAAAAAGAGCTTTAGGAAAAAGGTTTTTAGAAAAAATATATGTTTTTAAATAATAAAATTTGATAAAAATTTAATTTATACTTTAAACTTTTAATATTAAAATAATTGAGTATTATCTTTCTAAACATACTATCAATTTTAAAACACAATTTTCTATACTTTTACCCTGTCGTATATAATGTTTTCAGACTTAGAAAGAAAAATTGCAAAAATAGAACCTTTAATTTAAAGGATTTTCCCCGTACTCAAACGATTTTCTAAATTCTTAAAAAAAATCATAATTTTCATTAAGAATTATTACATAAAACAACACACTTTTACTGTAAAAAACACACAACTTGATAGTTCCAACTTCACATAAGAGCAATACCAGCAAATTTTAATAGTCTTAAATGATACGAATAAACAACTTAAGTTAAACGTAATCAGTTTTCACCTTTAGTCTCTTAGTCAAATTAGATCCATTATTCAAATAAAAAGGTAACAGACACTGATATAGTAGATATCACTTGTTCTCTTAAGTTCATCTCAGTTTATCTTTTCCGTACAACCTGATTGGAGTAAAGGTTTATTATACTCGGTATTATTTCAATCAAATTTAAAATATAGTAATTTTCTTTAAGATATTTTTCATGTTACCTTTAGTTGTGTGAGCATGTTTGTCAATTTAAAACAAAAAAATATTAAATTGTTTTATTTCTTTGGACGGGCCAAAATGTACAATCCAACTTAATCTGCTAAGTTGGATTAGAAAAAAAAAAAGTACAATCCATTAACGCAACACAGAGGTGAATAAGATTAAAAAAAAAAGTACAATCCATTTAAAAATAACGCCAACTTAATCTGCTACAAATTTTTAACTTGACTGATAGGAGGGAATCTAAAATTATATCTCGTATCGTTGATCAAGAATATTCATAAACAAGGAAGCCCATCACCTGAGTTGGGCCTGAAGCCCAAATTGAATTAATTGTATCCAAAGTAAAAAATAACACATTTAAACTTTATTATATTAAGTCGTAGAATTAAATTTATTATAGAAATTCCAGTTAATTATTGTTCATTAATCAACAGCTTAAAGTATTTATTAAAGTGCAGAGTAAATAGTCTTCAGGATTGGAATTTTAATACCCTACCTAACCTAATATCCTCCTATTTGAAGATAGAGAACATTCTAGTAACAGCGAAAATCAAGAGTTGCCGGTCATAGCACATTTCTGCCAAATAGGAAAACTATCTTTCCAACGTTAAATCATCATTTCCAAAATTTCAACTTCTTAAATACCAGAATACAACGTATCAGTGCAGATAAATACACGCAAAAGGAGGGAGAATATTTTTATCTTTAATAAATAAAAAAATAGTTGAAAAATTAAAATACATTAAATTAGAGTGAGATGTGTAATAGATTTAATTTATAGCTATAAATAAAAAAGATAAGGTGTTTTTTTAAGTAATATTTTTAATTTGGTTTGTTCCAATTTCCGGCGCATCCACCCTGGAACGGCGTAACTTTTACACCGACAACGGAGAAGGGGAAACGGCGTGAATTAAATGAAGGGGCAAAAGAGTAAAACCGGAAATAACGTTACCGTTTTCAGGAGGCAGATTTTCACACGTAGCTAGCTATAGTCAACGATTCCTGTCTTGTCCACAAAGCAAACTCGGAAAACCGAAAAGTAATTGAAAAAAAGAACGAAAAACAAAAAGGATATTTTTTCCGAGGCTTCCACCAGCTCCAGTGCACCACTTCCGTTTTTTGAGTTTTCGCATTTCCAAAACCCTAATCACGAATTCACATTGAAACCACATCGGGGTGGTGAAGAGGTCAATGTTCGGTGGCGGAGGGGAGGACGCGTTTGCGGCGCGGCTTGGCATGGTGACGCCGTCGCTGATGAACCCCGCGACGTCGTTGGTGATGTCCGGGGAGGTGTCAGCGGCGGTGAGGGAGGAGAGGGGACCCGCGCAGCCGCAGTGGAGCCAGCAGGAGACGCGGGAGTTCATATCGATACGCGCGGAGCTGGAAAGGGACTTCACTGCGTCCAAGCGGAACAAGACGCTTTGGGAAGTGGTGAGTTCGAAGATGAGGGAGAGAGGGTTCAGGAGGAGCCCTGAACAGTGCAAATGCAAGTGGAAGAACCTCGTTAATCGCTATAAGGTCTTTATCTCTTTCTATTTCTTTTTTATTTAGCGTCTGTTGCCGATTTTGTTTGTTTGTTTGTGGCGTTTTCATTGTTCATGATTTTGGAGCAGAGTTTGGCATTGTTGTTATCTCGTTAAATCTTTTTGTTGATGTTCAGTTTGACTGTTCTTCTGCCAACTGGAGTAATGAGTGATATACACCTTTGTATGTGACATTCATTTGAATAATTTCAGACATTATAAAATGTGATTGGACTTCGGTCGGAAGGGAGAGATAGGAGTGAGAGAGACACAAAGTGTCCGATAGTTGTGTTGTGATAGGAAAAGATGAGATTGACATGAAGAAGGAAAATGGAAGAAAAAGTAAATATATGTTTATTATAACAACTCTATGATGTTTGTGACCACTAAGTATGATCCATTGAATTGTTTAAGTTCATCTATATGAAGCTTTGTTCATATGCCCAAAGGGTTGGGAGGAAATATGTTGGGTTTGTGGCTTAGATTCAATTGAATGGCCCATATATAATGGACCGTGTTTGATGCAGCTATATGTCGAGAGTTGAGTCTTTGCTAACAGTTCAAGCTTTTAGTATGGTCATAACCGCTCTTGATAATATAATTTATGGCGTATCTGGTTATAGGGTGTGCAATGTGTTTGCTAGAGTCTAGCAGCATTTTTGTTTTTCTGGTTGAATTGGTCTGGTCCCAACCCGTGTTCATCTCAAAGCTACAATTTAGTGCTTCCCAGTAAACACTTGTTTGGAATGTGAGCCAGTGAAATACAAGTAAATCCAAATATGCTATAGGCCAAATCTTAAGAAACCCCCCTCTAACTATGTTGATGTGGAAAAAGTTCCTGTAGGGAGTTTGTGTGTATGGTTGAGCGACTTTATTTTGATCTGCATTGGTGCAAAAAAATATTTCTTTAAAAATGCAGAAAAGAAATATCTCAAAGATGGCGGTGTTCACTTTACCCAGTAAATTATGTAGCAATATTTTTGCAGGGAAAAGAGACATCTGACCCAGAGCATAGCAGGCAATGTCCATTTTTTGAAGAATTGCATGCAGTATTTACCCAAAGGGCACATAATATGCAACGATTGCTTCTTGAATCTGAAACTCGCTCAGCTCAAACCAAGAAAGGAGTGAAAAGATCAAGTGGAGATCGATCTTCAGAGGAACTCTCAGAAGATGACGACGAGGTTGAATATGACAGCGAAGAGGAAAAACCTTCTAGAAGCAATACCCGCAAAAGAAAAGTTGACAAAGTTGGAACGGATAAGTCTTCTTCAAGGGCAAACAATCCATCGAATGCTGTCAATAGTAGTACTAGTAGTATTCAGGAAATGCTAAAGGAATTTTTCCAGCACCAGTTAAGGATGGAGATGCAGTGGAGGGAGATGATGGAGAGACGTGCTCATGAAAGACAGTTGTTTGAACAGGAGTGGAGGCAGTCGATGGAGAAGCTTGAGCGTGAGAGGTTAATTATTGAACAGGCATGGAGGGAGAGAGAAGAACAGAGGAGAATGAGAGAAGAGAGTAGGGCGGAAAAAAGGGACGCCTTATTGACGACCCTTTTGAACAAACTCATTAATGAATCTAACTAACTGAAGCAAATGGTTTGGGTTCCTTATAACTGATTACTTTGTTGTTTCTATTTATATATGATTTTAAGTATAGCACAGAATGGACTAAATTTTACAGTAGCTTTTGATTATGGAGAATTTTAGAAGGAGACCTGGATGAAGAAAAGAATATTTATAGGAGTATATGAACATTTTCTCTTGAAAATTGATATAGAAAGTTTTTATATGAACTATTATTTAGGGATACTTCTGTTTGGCATTACGTTCTGGGACATGTAACTAAAAACAGGTATTGTTTACAACTTTGTATAATAGTTGATAAATTTTATATTTTTTTCCTACTGAATTATCTCGATGTGATTGTGATGAGATTTGAACATGATGATAATGAAAATGTATATCGTTTTAGCTTTCAATGTTTAACAGCAATACATCCTAAGTTTTGGTGCTGGTTAACGTTGGCCGTAACATCTGTCTAGATTTGTATTGTTCATCATTGCTTTTTGAGCTGCAGTGTGCTGTGAAAATAATTGAATGTGCAAGTTTTGGCAAGGGTATCTGTTGAGTGCTGACTTTGTTGATATTTGTTAATTTATTTAAGGGTATTTGTAAATTAAAGGTGACGGAAGATGATCGTCAGTATGTTTACTGTGATAAAAAAAATACTCTTTGCCATGGATTCTTTATTAGTGCCGTTAATTTAAAGAGAATTATGATGTTTGTTTCAATTAATATATAGTATGTGTGATTTATACGTGTTTTGATATTTTGGAGGCAAAGAGAATGAACTAACAATCACTTGTTGAATTTTATTAGCGAGTATTTTTTATGTAATCCAGGGACTTTACCTCACAGGTATGGTGTTTCACGTAGTTTCCTCTGCTAAGGCTTTTAGGTGCCCATTTTTTAACAAAAGAAACTGAGATTGATTGTTCTGTAACACTAACTCATTAGAACACCATCAAACCTTTATGGATAATGATACTTTGACAACATTTTTTTGACAACATTTTAACACCATTTACGTGTTATTCTGTGATTGGTCTATGTTGGTATTTATGATTATTATTATTGATTGTGGGGTAATTTTAGACCAATCACAGAATGACACGTAGATGATGTTAAAATATTGTCAAAGTATCATTATCCAACCTTTATCGACATTTGCACGTCTACGAGGAAATAGGTCCCTCTTTGAATGTTTAGTTGTGTGTTCCTGTGTGATAGAAAATCTCTTAGTCATGATCAAGCACTTTCAAGAGAGTGAAAATCATCCTTGAAGATGGTGTCAACTCTACCTTGTGGACCACCATTGAAGCCATCATAAAGCATGGATTTAAGAGTAATGTAGGTTTATTTAGTTAGGCCTTGTATTTGGTCATGTAGTGTAGGTTTGTTTAAGGTTTGTATTGATGCCTAAGTAGCATAGGATTTTCCTTAAAGTTAGACATTCAAACCAAGTGGAAAGTGTTTGCCATGTCTCATACTTACATTGGAGAGGATTTACTTTTTAAAAAGTAGTCACATGGCACCTTAGGAGTGGAGAGTTTTTGCTTTTAGTAGTGGCCACATGGCATCTAGGAAAGAAGAGGATTGTGTTTTGTGAGTGGCCACATGTCCTCCCATCATTGGAGAGGATTTGTGGACACTTGTCCACTCCTTAGAAGGCCTCATTTTTGGCCAATGAGAGCAAAGGTGGGAGATCATACTTTTAGGGTTAGGAGACATCCTTGGCCTATAAATAGAGGTGTCTCCACCTTTGTATTTCATCTTTGATGTTGAGTAATATTATGTTGTTCATTTTTGGCCATACTACTCATCTTAGATCAAGACTTGAGCAACCCATGAGACCCCTCTAGTCACCTTCCTCCTTGAGTTGGCCTAACCTCTCTTGGAGCCACCAAACACTACACCACCACTATCATATCTCCTAGATGCTTTGATCTTTTACATCATTCATACATTAGCTCATCATCCTTGGACCATTTACCACCACATTTTCGCACCATTCATCCAAGGAACACCCCTCCATGCACATCTCCTAGCTTTGGCCCAACCTAGCCAAGGAGGTTGCCATCACTGTATAATCTGCTTGAATAGTTATCCGCTTTTTCATTACATCCTCCATTGTCAAATGCCTTTTCATTCTTCGTACCGTCTTTTCTTCCTCCCCACCAAATGAATGTACTATTGGACTATTGCAGTGTCTTTTGAGCTAAATCTTAGGTTATGATTAGAAGTTTCAAGTTGAAGGGAAAGAAAAGAGCAAGAGTTCCATTTTTAACAAATGTCCTCCGATTTGATAATTTTAAAAAGGTTTAATTGTTCAGATTCACATTTTCAAGGTAATGTATTTATAAAAGTGTCAATTTCGTTCTCAAATATGTTAATGTTTATTAGTCAAGGTTATTCGGTTAATTTTTCAGTGTTAATTATGTGATGATGTGATAAAACAATGTGATGTGGTAAGACACATTGCAACAAATAAAAATGTGTAAATGTAGTGTGCAAAAGTATTCAATAGAACCTTCAATCTTCAATAAAACCCATATTGTTGTCAAAGAAAATTTAATTTTTCACTTTCACTTCATTGTCAATAAAATCCTCAATTTCACTTCTCTTCTTCACGGTTAGAATTTCTAATTCGTCAATAAAATCCTCAATTTCACTTCTCTTCTTCATGGTTGGAATCTCTAATTCCTAAACGTTTGACTCACTTTTTTCAAAATTCTAATCCCAAATTTCTATGTGACTTGTTTTTTTCAAAATCCTAATTCCAAATTTCTATATGAGAAAGTCTTTATCAGTTACATGTTAGAAAACAAGTGTCACAGTACCACAAAATTTTCACCCCAGTATGCTTAATAAGTCAATGTCACGGTATTTTAAAAATAATAGATCAACATAAATCTCAGTATTTTATTTATTCCTATTCAAAGTTTATAATCTTTATTTAAAAATAAAAATGCGTTGTCTCTATCAACTTTTTTTATTAATCATCCCAAGCTTACAGACTATTCTTGTACGGGCTTAGGATTTACTTTTATACCAGTTTAACCTTGTAAAAAAGATTTGTAAGATGAAGTTTATCTTTTATTTATAATTTAGTGATATCACTAACAGTCAAATAATCCAACAATAATTGATAGGATATATACTCTTAAAATTGGCACTGGAGCTTACATCAACGTCTATCATGATTAAAGCACGCTCTTACAACGCTCCTTTGATAGTCTCCTGCATTAAAATAAACCTTTTCTTGAATTTTGACATGACATAAGATTGAGCTATTGTCATTCTTCTGATATGTCTACGATGAATGATATACCACTAACATTTGTTAGTTTGATCTTGTCTTACTTTCTGGTATACTATTGCATCCGCTATATCTGAATTTGGATTTTGGAAATCTTCAAAATAACTCATTGACTCCTTTCTTTTACAATTTCCATGACAGTATTTTGGTTTGAGAATTATATTTTACTCCAATATTTTAAGTTAGTGATCGAAAGATCAATTAATGACATTTTAAAAACTAACAGAACAAAACTGCCTCCGAAAGAAATCTACTCAACTTTAGACATGAAAGTATATCATTTAGACATGAAAGTATATCATTGATGCTGCCCACTTCATTAGACTGCTATAAGATGTACTATAACCAATTTATATATAAGGAGAACTTGTAAAATGAATCCCTGTTTAAGATTGATAAAAAAAAATGGCCTAAAATTCATACATTTCATCGTGTCCAAAATGGATTTTATCTATAATGCCATAAAAATCTTCAAGAACTAGTAAAATGAGATTTATGCCCTTCATATATATTAATTTGAGTAGATCTCCAAGTCTTACAACTCATCTTAACTTGTTATCCAATCGACATCAACATTACTAAGTACTTCAGTCTTGTTTTGGTTAACATCAGTGGCTTATTTTGGACTGTTCAGTTTACAAACACCTGTATTTAAAAAGTATAATTTTTTTAATAGCTCCGTCTCTTCCATGTTGGCATCAAACACTATGAACACCCCAAGTCAGTGAACACTGGTGCAACATCATGATAATATTGTTATAATGATAGAAGCAGTTTTCATCATCCTTTCTGATATCACAATAATGCACATTAACATGATTCAATTAAAACATGTTGCAACCTGCATCGTAAGCAGGGGATTACATTATAATCACGAAGGTACAACTAGAAAGTATGCTTTCTTTTGGACCTTTCGTACCATGTGCTAAAAATATCTCTAGCTTGACTCTGCAGGCGGTTTCTCCTTCGGATGTTTGGAGGCAAAGTGATCAACAAGTTGGTTTTGATTTGCAAGTTGGACCTGAAAAATAATGTTCAATGGTGTGAAGAAACATTATACAAGATATTTAAGAATGCAAAGGATCTTCAGAATTCAGATTACACAAGGAAAATTCCAGTGTTCAAATTGAATGTGCCCATCAACCAATTAACTATAGTATCCTTGTCACCCTAACTGAATGATCAACGCCAGATATAAATGATTGGAGCGTCTATTAGTCAAACTGAAGAAATGATGATATTAATAAAGATATCATTGACACTCAAAGTACAGGCATTAAAATATTCTTACTTGACCTCTATCGTGTGTAATGTAAGTTTCCTAAACTTAGAATTTCTAATGATATTCAAAGTTCTTATCCATAAATATAACAAGGCACATTATTAATAGTAGTATAAATACATATACATTCAACCACTTATACAAAGAGATCTTCTGATTTTCTTCTTCATGGGAGATGCTTCAGCAGATCAGTTTTGAAAAATGTATGGAGAAGCTATAATCTTTTCCTCAAAAAAATTTTTTTTTTACCTTTTGTAGGCTACAGTTCATGCATTACTTCTATTTCCTAGTGATAAGTTTTGTTTGCAAACCCATACATCTAAGAAGCACAAGCAAGAAGAAAAGTAATCTGTCAGGTGAATAAACCATCCCCACAAAACCAGGTCAATTTCAATATCACAGTACTACCAAAGAATGAAGACAGTTCAGACTC